ATATTAATGTTATGGTAAAAAAAAGTTAAAAAATACATTTTATTTTTCCAAAAAAAAATCGCTATAGCCATTTTGTAGGGTTTATTTTTCTGAAAATATTGACGTTTCAAAATGTTATTTTTGTTAATTTATTGATTGACCCGATTTTTAATTTTTTTTTAGTTTTGAGAAAAATTGTTAGGTAATTATCACATACTATTATCAAACATGTGAAACACCAATTTCAGTATGCGTAGTTATTATATTTTATTTATTAAAAACTAGAAAAATGTTAAAAATCAGGTAATTAATGAAAATAACTTTTTGAAACGTTAATATTTTCAGAAAAATAAACCCTACAGAATGGCTATAGTGAATTTTTTGGAAATAAATAAAAAAAAAATAATTTTTTCTTTTTTTACTAAAACATTAAAATAAATTTAAGAAAAGCGGGTAAGTCGTGGATGTCGCTCTGCTGTACAGTAGGTTACAAGTGGGTTACTGTAATGGATGCAGTTAAATTTGAATTCAATGATATTATATAATTATATACGAAAAACAATTCTGAGCGGAAACGGTTTATCTGTCTAGGATATATGATTATAGATTATTAAAAATTTTCAAATTTTAGATTTAAAAAGAAATTTTTTATGAATTTCTAGCATAAAATAATTTACGAATTTTCGTGATTTTTACGTATGTTGTCAAAATTCAAACTTTTRAATGYTTATAAAAAAAATTGTGACTATAATATATTTATTTTATTTTTTAACTGCTATTGTAAAAATATGTTAGAARCATTGTATTAATTTTTTAAATCTTAGATTTAAAAAGAAAAACTTTTATGAATTTCTATCTAAAATAATTTGAATATTGCTGTAATTTTTACGCATTTTGTCAAAATTTGAACTTAAAATGCTTATAAAAAAAAATTGTGTCTATGTATTTATAATATTTATATGTATAAAAAAGCAATCAAATAAGAAAATATTAAAAAAATTATATTTTCAAAATTACACATTGTTGAGGCAATATAAAATATGGAATAGTGTGAGTAAATTATAATTATCATTTTAATTACAAAACAGAAACTTTGCTAGTCTAAGATAATTTAACATTTAAAGCTTCAATTATGTAGACGATGTGCTGTCATTTTGTACTTCCATTGACTCATCAGGTTTATCTTCTTCATTTTCAGCATCTGTAAAAAAAAAAAAAAATACTATTATTTAGGGTAGATGAGTGTCATGAGTTATGTGTATATATACTTGTAATATAATAAAAAACACCTATAAAGCTAGAAAAAATGTTATAATTTTGTATGGCGGGTTTATTGATTTTAAAAGGAGGTCTAATGTAGACCATAACACTGCTTGTACACCAACCTGTAATTGCATAATGATCAAACATGTATTCTTTTTGATATTCTTTCATAAGCTGAGTTGAACGTTCTTCATCCAAAAATAACCTGTACACTTTTTTTACATCATCTACTGTTACTTCAGTAGCTTTACGTTTTCGGCATACTAAGTGGGCAGTTGTTATCAATTGAATACCATATCGTAGTGATGTTGATTTACTGATCTTAGCTAAAATGGACAGAGCATCTTTGGATATTTCACAGTCTTCTTCTTCAGCCCTAATATATTTTATAAAAATTATAAACAATTTTGTTGCTACTACTTTGGTTAATATTATTTAAGTTGTTATACATAAATGATGGGAAAATACCTAATTTTTAAGATTTGTTCTAATTCATTTTCAGAATAAGGTTGTGTCATAATGATGACCATGCGGTCTAGCAAATCAAGAGGCACACCATGAGGTGATTTATAGTTTGTGCCTCGGATGTTAGTCACTCCACGATTGGTGGCTGTTATTACAATTGGAGCAATTTCATTCTCTAATGCTCTGTTTAGGAATGAAAAACATTCTATGTCCAACATGTGTACCTAAAATGAGTTACATTAATATTTAACATGGACTACTAGTACAGTAATATCAATGAAAATAAATAACAATCATAATTACTTCATCAATGAATAGTACGCCTGCTAATAATTCAGCTTTTCCTTCTTCACGCCATTCGCTAACTTTACAGTTAATTTGGTCTCTAACTTCTGACTTAATTTCACCAGTATCACCTAGAAATAAAAAATAAAAAATAAATTAAGTTTTTATACTAACATATTGATTTAATAATGTTATATATATATATATAACAGCAACATCTAAACATATGATTTTAAAAAATTATATTCTTCTTTTATTTTTAAAATGTTCACCATTTTATAAGGAGCAGGGCATATTGTTTATTATTAACCTAACCTAAGCATGGGTTGATAATATTTAAATCAATTGCTGATTATCAAAAATACAACATACAAAGTTTTTCACTAATAGTTATCCCTATAAAAAATACCTATCAAATTAAATTAAATTTATGAAATTCCAATTATAATATCAATATTATATTAATTAATAAATAATTAATACTTAAACTTATAGCTATAGGTATTTATAACTACTTACTTATAAGATTAAAGGTAAAAAAAATGTTTCATTTAATTTTTTTAATAATAAGGCTTAATAAGTTTAAACTCTATATAAATAGTTTAACACAGTATTTAAATATTTGATTCATCATATAAGTAACATTTTAAAAGGTTAGTTAAAATTAGAGTATTAATTATTAGAATTATATTTATTATTTAGACACTATGATGTAAGATTGATAATATTGAACAATATACTACCTACTGAAAGACTATATGTTTCTATTCAGATTAACATGACACCCCTAGTATTTAATAAATCAAAAGCAAAATATATGCTAATATCTTGATAAACACTAAAATAAGAATGAAAATATTTAGGAGAAACAATTAATCGTAAAACTAATCGAGAGATAAACTTAAGTTCAACTTAGCAAGTCAGGAGTTCTTATATTTGAACATTTTTTAAGTACAGGCATATCAATGGTGATAAAGGAGTTAAATATAAGAAACTTAATATCAAATATTTTCTCAAATAGGTAAGAATTGGCTTGTAGTATATGGCGATTTGAGGAGAGTATTACAACAGAATGCACTGATGAATATACCAAATGAAATTCACTATAGAGTTAGACCTTGGCAATGGTGGCAAGATATTATAAGAACAATAGCCAGACAATAAAACTTGATATTGCAATCTGCAATAGAGTGTAAAAAATAGAGAAACTTTGCAGAAATTGAAAAAGTTATATATATTATAAAAAAATTGAAAAATTGAAAAATTGAAAGTAAAACAAAAAAATATGTGTATACAGTTAACAGATTTGTTAAAATTTTTAAAATTAAAAAAAAATATATATACAAAACATAAAACCACAAATAATTTTTAAAACACATCCAATCAAATAAATATCACAGAAAAAACTAATATTTTATTATACCTGAAAATAGAGCAAGAAAACCATGCGTTCTGGAATTTATCACATCAATTTCATGTAACGTAACTGTATGTACTACTTCTTTACGCTTTTGAAGTTCGCCTTCTGGACACTGCACAAATCTAAACGTAATTTATATGTTAGTGTAATTTACTTAATTATAATGCAAACCTAACATTATTATTATACAAGTGTAATAATATAAAACTACAAATTATACTGATTAACTTACCTAGTTTGTGGGCCAGATGCATCATAGTCTCTTGATCTGGTAAATGACCGTCCAATTTTATTAACTTTGCCACTAGCAACATCGATGGTTACTACATCTCCAGCCAAAACCTTTACACAATATAGAATTCAATAATAACTTATACATAAACATTAAATAGATTTTAATTACTTTTTCTTTTAACAATGCTTCAATCATTTTGTTTCCAAGATCATAAACAGTCTCCATGTCAGTAGTTCTCATGGTCAACTTTCCTACTTTAGACCCTGTTCCTGTAACTGGGCGTTCTATTTGGAACTCTACTACTTCACCTTCAATAATTTCACTTTCCTCCCTGAAAAATATTATGTTTAATAATGCTATAACTTAACATTCTAAAACAATTGTATACACACTTGATGCGAACACCGATTGATTTACGGATGGCTTGAGTTAGTGCTTCGGTTTTGCTCATTTCTAAACTATATATCTCTGAACCAGACATGCAAGTAAACGGAGTATCAGAACCCAAAGCTTGTGCTAATGCCATGGCAATAGCAGTCTTTCCTAAATAAAAAAATTTGAGTATTCGTCCAGTTAATATTGGTCCAATAAGTAATCAATGAGTATCGAATTACCTGTGCCAGGTTCGCCAGCAAGTAGAACAGACCTTCCAGCAATCTTTTCTTCTTTTATCATATCTAATACGACACCCATGGCTTTGCGAGCTTTCAACTGGCCAACCAGTCCTTGTGAAACCTAAAAACAAACAAACCTATCAGGMACTGTTTAACAGGATATACTTATTATGAAAAACAAACATTTCTTGGTTCCCTGTTGTCATCCAACCCAAGTCCACGTATGTGAGAATGGGCACCGATACGTTCTACTCGGGAAATCTCCCGAACTTCTTGCACCTTGGCTACCGCCGCTGCCTGAAATCAAAAGTATTTGTGGTCAAGATGGTAATTTACTAAAGATAAGTATAGCACAAAACATCAAAAACCGTGACAATACTTACGGACATCGTAATTTAAGGAGGTAAAAGAATTTAAGACTAGATTTTTTTATTTGGAAATCACACGAGAGACGAGCTGAAAAAAGTATCAAGAACTCGTAACTATAGAAAATAATAGAATATTACAAATATCGATCAACCAGAATCAAAAATGGCAGAAAAACACAATATTTGTTTTTAATGTTTTTATTTAATCGCATAAGAACATAACCTACAAATAACGTTCGGCGGCGGGAGAAGCGTTATCACACCTGACAAAATTCTGACGAACGTTTTTCAGGACAGCTGGTGTCGACTAAAATATTTTAATAAAAAGTCTGTCTTGATAACAGACGACCGTCGTGTTTACTGTTCGCGGTCGTTGATAAAAAAAAGGAAATACAACTGTCAACGCGATACGTCCGTCGTCGTGATCGTCGACTAACATTGAACATTTTCGTTCGTCCGTTAGTCGAATACTTCATGAATATTGAATAAATTCAATTTTACCATCAGACAACTGAACACTCGATCCTTATTCACACCGATGACAGCTGTGGTCGCATTTATCGTTTTTGCCGTGGCCAGATGACAACGACGGACGTCTTCTTCCCGAACGCGATGACTAGGACAACGTAAGACCGACCGACTACCCAAGACACCGAACCCGCTGGTAGACGAAATAATGTCGTACGAACAGACTGCTTGCGATGGTAAAATATGTCACGTTTTAATCATGCCGATTTCGGATTAAACCCTCAAGTCTAAAACGTCCTCACTTCTTATAATATTAGTTTCAATGTCAACCTTCTCTTACTCTTTGATATAGGTACAGAGCTACAAATGATCATTGTTTACTTGGAAACAGTTTCGTTGGTACAGTCGATTTCAATTTTACACCCGTTATGACGGGTATTAAGCACTTGCTTTTTTCTGTTCTGTTTCAAAAGAATCCTATGAGTATTCTATTTTCCATAGCAGTGTCATTGTCCGGTAGGCTTATAATATATTTTTTTACAGCTCCACCGGGTGGTAAAATCTTGTAACAAAATTAATTAAATTAATTCTAGTTTTATACGATGCACATTTTTTTTTGTACCTACTTTAAGAGCTTTGCCAACAATATATTAATAAATTTAATCCTCAATATAAACTCATAATGTAATACTTATAATACCAAACAACTTACTACTAAATGCTTAAAAAAATTATTAAATATATATTAAAATATTTTAAAATAAACTGTATTTGAAACAATATAATTAAAATTAAATATATGTGTTCTTTAAATTAGGATAATATATTAAACATATGGAACATTTTATAGATCTTAAAGCTTTTGAACGGCGACTAACCGAGGTGATAGCTTCCATCAAGCCAATAACTAATCGATGGCGAAGTAAGAATATTTTTTTTCCATGTATAATGATGATATGTAAATGTAATTTCTTATGATTTTCAGCAATTTTAGCTATTTCAACATTAAGCGCTTCAATAGGTGCCTATTACTGGTTGACAGATCCACAAACAGCTAAAGTATCATTTGTTCAATCACTGTACAATCATTTATTGTTCACCATTTCTTCCATAATGCTTAGTAAGAAGACTTAAGATATTTAACAAATAACGATGGTGTTTAATTTTTTGTTTTGATTTTATTTTAATTAGTGATATTACTTTTAACTGGAGTACACAAAAAAGTGATAGCAACATCAATAATAACGTCTCGTGCGAGGCTAGTGCTAGCCGATTTTAATATGTCTTGTGATGATTCTGGAAAACTAATACTTAGACCTAGGCCACAACAAAACACATGATGATAAATTCACAATAACCCCCATGTTTTATTTATTTTGTTTTTACTTTGTCAGTTTAAGCGTTGCATAATAATTGTTCATGAATGACTGACATCCTATTGTAACGAGTAAGATCTATCATTCTGAATTTTAATGTGCCTAAATTTGGGTGTTACTGTTAAACAGGTTTGTATTTGATGTGTTTCAATAAAATGTGTTTATGTACATAATATAATTATTATTTACATATTATGTGTTATTATAATTATTAAATTGATATAGATATTCATTATATGAATTTAATGCATATATTTAACTAATCTAAAATAGAAGAAGTTCAAAACATACTTAGGTAACATATTAATTTAGGTTAAATGTTCTTAAGTTATTGTGGTACACAGACTCGTGTAAAAAAGATCTTTGAAGCCACAAATTTTCCAAATTTATGAGGAAAACAATTGAATTTCAAGAACTTAATTTATCAATATTTTACACAAAAGTTTCTTTATTTCAAATAATCCAAAAATGTCTATAATGATTCAATACTTATAATTAATATATGTGTGTGTTGTTTGTGTAACCATAAAGATGATAACAGCACAGACCATGACAGAAGTATATCGGTCACCAGGACCCATAGATCCACCAGCCATAGGTTAAGAAAAACTGCTKATTTAAGTAGTATGATTCCTCATGAATAACCTACTTAATATTTAACGTTCTTATCTTGTATAACATTATTAATCACAAAATATTTTTAATATTTAGCAATTTTGTCAATATTCATATGCCAAAATTATCATTGGTAGGTATATGAACAACTTATGAGGAACTATGTATTAAATTTCTAAATTTTTTTATACATAGAGAAAAGTAAATTAAAAAATTTTAGATGTTAAAAACATATAATCTATACACAGCTGAGAAAGTATAACATTTTTTTAAATTTTTATCATGCATAAAGACGATGAATTATGTTAGTGCCAAATACCTGGTTGCTGAAATTTTGTCCATTATTAGGAGATGTCCCCGTTTCAGATGGATCAGTTTGAAGAAAATGTATAGTTGATTCCCATAACCAAAAAATATCTACTATTAATACGGAAGGTGTCAATTAGCAGACATTTCATGTAAAAACATATGGTGAAAATTCCAAGTATCTACGGTTATCCGTTTTTGAGTTGACTATAAAACCAAATACATTTTTTTTTCAACTGGTTTTATGTAAAAATTACCATTTCTAAAATATTTTTTTACAATTATATTGAAATTTTTTTGGGAATTATTAACAACATTACATTTTCTATCATAAACCACTCTCACAGTTGAAATTCTAAACCTTTTTTACACTAAGCCCTAAGGATCGTGTATGGAAAAGTAAACATAGTAAAATTAATACATTCATTCCTCCACCTAGAGTCTAAAAGAAAACATATTTTTTGTGATTTAATCATAATTTATTTTATGATAAGTATCAACTTAATAATTTACTTTTAAGAGGACATTATACTTGCATGTGTTGTCTCTGTCTTACAAGTGCATAACATTGCAAATTTTACGCTCAGCAAACCATGTTTAGCTCCGCGAGTTTAAAATTTAGAGTGAATTAACCTCTTTTAAAAATTAAAGGTGACATTATTATTGAGGGCTTCTCTTAGACTTTTATTATATTTTAATTAGTCTATGAGAAGCCCTCTATAATAATGTTACCTTTAATTTTTATAAAAGGCAAATTCGCTCTAAATTTTAAACTCACAGATCTAAATGTGATCTGCTGAGCGTAAAATTTATTATGATATGCACTTGTAAGATGAAGACAACCCGTAACGGGTATAACGTCCTCTTAACATTGCTTGTTATGTAAATGTTTATTTTTATTTTTTCACTAAAAATTATTAATTATTATACCACAAAACTTAATTTGTACATCTACTACATCCTAGTCCTTAATCCCTAATGCATTGTACAAGATTAGCTTAATTAACATTTATGTATAGGTACAACTAAACACATAATGTATGACTTATAGCTAATGTTGCTTTAACATTTGGATAAATCTGATGTAAGTGTTATTTTTTATAGTTAAAAAGCAAATTTTAAGGAACTCAAAACTTTAAAATATGATCTAAGAAAACCTTAAAATATTATTTTAATATATCATTTAAAAATGTGCATTCATATACTAGGTTTTTTTTTTGTTTTGCTTAACTTACTCTTTTACTTGATGCAGTAAATAAACAATATTATATTTTCTATATTAACTTAATAGTTAAGTAATACGTATTCTTGGGTTCAGGTAAAAAATAAAATGTTTGGTCAAACATTATAATATACCACTGTTAAAGAAAACCATATTGGCCAAGATAACAAATTTAATTAGCTATTGAGACAGATTAACAATAAATATTTATTGATATTTAAAAAATAGTTATTGGACAATTTCAATAACTTTTTTATAATACAAATTAGTTATTTTAAAATAAATCACCATTCAGGAAATGAACAATTTCAGGACCCTTATTCTTGTTGAGCTGCATGAGCCTAATAAATATTAAAGAAATAGTGTTGGTTATGAATGTTAAAGAAATACAATTTTGCTCTAGTTATAATCAAATATCTTATAACCGAATATTATAAAACATAATACTTTTAAGATAGTTTTAAAAAGTTTTAATAGTTTTTAATATAAAATTTAGTATCATACATTATACTAAAATAAATAGTCTTTATGGTACTTAGAGTTGTAGAAATGATGATTTTATAAGATATTTGATGGAGTTAAAACGTTCATCCCAATACGCATAAAAGTTTATAACTATTTGAGACCATCTAAATAATATGTTGTCTTAAACATGATTTTCAGTTAATAACATAAGGATTAGACATAATTTGTGATTTTATGATATTATTGCAATAATTATATTTATTAACATTGTATGCAATATTTTTATTATTTGATACCATTTAATTCAGTTTTCCCCAATGAACATTTTAACATATAACTTATATTCCTTCCTACTGTTAAATATCTTGGTCTAACACTTGATCAAAGACTTAATTGGACCCACCATATAAGAACCAAAAGACTAGATCTAAATAATCGCCTATACATGCTAAAAACAGTATTATGCAATAATAAATACACCTCCACGACGTAGAGTCCACGTGCACTAAACTTCTTATAAATAAAAGTCTACTAAAACCAATGTGGACGTACGGTCTGCAGTTATGGGGTATTGCAAAAAAAAAAAAAACAAACGTTAATAAAATTCAAGCATTCCAAATCATTGCTCTAAAGAAATTAACAAATGCTCCTCCTTACGTCTCAAATTTTTCCCTTCATTCAGACTTAAAACTAAAAACAATAGCTGAGGAATCCAAATGTTTCTATAAAAGATTCTTCAACCACCTAAACGTTCATTCGAATCTAATCATCAAAAAATTGGCCTCCGCTACCATACCAGGTAATCCCCCAAGACGTCTAAAGCGCAAATGATGTGATTTGTTATAAAAAAATAAATACTATTAAAAATAATTATTAAGTAAATAATTAAGTAACCATAGAGAGTGTCATCAATGGTGTCATCTTTTATCAAATAATTTTCTTTTCCAGTGAATGTACTCTTAGCACATATTCTTATTGTATTAATGATACAGATTGCATATAACTTGGGAAAATAAGACATTCCACGGGTATGATTTAACATTTGGGTTTTTATAATATAAAAATTAATTTTTCATAACTATTTTCTAATGTAAATGCAAATTTTAATAAGATAATTGAACTCCTGAAATAAGCTCTTAAAAAATAAATAATAATATATTAATAGGTAAAAAAATTCTTTTCACACATATTAGACATCAAACGAGATCAAAATTATATTTTTTATTACCAGTTTTACACATAAGCTTGTCAACTTTTAAACTACGACAAGTGTCAACTTCTATTTCTAATTCTAGTGATTTTAATTTAGTTCTTAGCTGACTAGATTGATCGCCCAAACACCAAGCAACACTCAAATGAAACTTTCGATCCTTGAACAAAAATTAACAGTTTGTCAATTAAATAAAAATATATTATAAACAGTTATTAGATTTATAAAAACTAATAAGTATTGTTTAAGTATGTCTCTTTTATTAATACTGTTAAAAAATTAAGATTAATAATAGATATTGGGAAAAGAAAATGTATTATCRAGTGCATACTTATTAAAAAAAAATTAAAATGAATATTAGCTAAATTAAAAATTAGTTACCGTGAATAATATATTATAAACCCTAAATAATTAAAATAAGTTCTAAACAAAGAACTTCTGGGTTATAGAGAAAAAACAATAACAGTATTATCAATTGTCAGTTTCGTATTTGAGTTAGTGTGCTGTAATTAATAATTATAATAAGGTGATATTTTTTCTTTCTATACACTTACTTTATAGTATTTCGGTAAATTATAATCGGACAAGACATTGTCTAGTTGATCAACACATTGAGATAAAACTTCTGCAGGATGTGCAAGAAAACCAATAAATGTCCTGCTACAATTTTCATTACAAAATACTTCTAAGTTTCCAAAAGTCACAGTAAACCTAAAAAAAATTGTATTCACATATTAAAATCATTTTAAACATTGATCAATATTGTTATATTAGAAAACGGGGAATGAAAACCTTAAAATAGTTGACAATTTGGATTTTACATCATTGATAAAACGTTGTATCCAATGATACTGCAGTACAACTGTTTTCGTAAGGCTAATATGGGGATGTTGAATAATTTCCAAGCCAAATTCGGTCAATTTATCTTGAACAATCTCTACTAAATCTATGTCTGGACCTTAACACGCAACAAAAAGGTATATTATTATTAGTGAAGACCAAAGAACCACTCAACAGTAGAGACAAGATATGAAACTAAACTCACACGGTATATATACATAAGTAGCCCAATTACCACGTTCATGTTCAAACAATCGAGAGCGTCCTTGGTGGGAATCGGGCTCATCTTTTGGTTTTGGATGATACAGTCTACCGTCAAACATGGAGGTGATGGCTTCGGGTACTGGCAACACTTTCCGTTCGGATTCACTAAGGTGCAAAACAACAATTATTATCATCAAACAAAACGTTTACATTGTAACGTCCAAATCACAGGCACAACTTATAAGCATAGTTTGATTATCACAGATTAAATTAAACTTAAAATAAATACACATAATATGTCTCGTTTAATTTGAAATCTGTGACAGTAGGTAGGTTACTAGGTAGTGTTAAAACGTTACTTATGCTCGCCATCGCTGTCTCCACTGTAACACTTTATTAGGTCCATAGTACATTTAGAATATAATTATATTGCACACCAGAAGATTCAATATTTGGTACACTGAAATAAATTTAGTTCAGTGATTTGGTAAGTATCATGCTATTTTAATTGATGCAATGTCTGTTGATAATTTGATATACTTGTCAGTTGTCAAATATCTTAGCGCAGAATTCTGTGATCTAACTATCTTAGCAAAATAAATAAATAAGATAACAGTGTTTTTAAATCTTCAAACAGTTGTAAATTATCGATCTTTTGATTGCAATGTGCATGGAAATCACAATAACATAATATTATATTCATTATCAAAATGTAAAATAATTGCCAATACAAAACACCTTACACATTTCATTTTAAAATAAAGTTAAATATGAATAATATGTTAACTATTTGAAGGCAACTGTACAATAAAAGTAATATTATGCTCTCTTCGTAGATATAACTATCATTTTTTTATTTTTTTTCGTAAATTTTCTATTTTTTTAAGTATAACAAATGCATTGAATTTGCCTATATAAACCCCTTTTATTTAAACAGGTAGTTAAAATAATAATTATCAATATAATATTAAATATGACGTGTATTATTATTAAAAAATGGACCTATAAACAAACACTCAAATAAGCATTTAAAAAATTCAATTTAAGTAAAAATATTTGATAATAAATAATGAAAAAAAAACCTATAATAGAAAAAAATTAGTAAAATTAAATAAATTTTCTTTTTACATGAACATGAAAGAGTACTATTACTGACATATTTTGATAAACATGGACTCGGGTCTGCCACGTCTTTTGAATGTAATGATTCATAACTTTTATTTTTATTTTTAGATATAGATTTTAATCCAGGTGATAGTCAGTTTTTTTTTATTTTTGATAATTAAGTGAGAATTTCAAGTGTTTACTGTCATTCATTTTTTAATTACAACAAACTGCCAAAATCGATTGACGCGAATTCGTTAATATACAGGAGAATACCCAATATTGTAAACAATTTAAATTCAAATGGTCATAAATATTTTATTTTACTATTTCCGCGGTAGCTAACTTTGAAAACTTGTTGGGAATTTCCTAACAAACTTTCAAAGTAGGTTAGTTATTAAATGAACAATTTTCTTGAATTTCTAACTCAAAAAGAGTTAGCAAATTTTCGCGATTTTGAGGAATTTTGACTAAATCTAAATTTAGTCAGTCATAAAAAATTGTAACGGATTTATCTCAACTTTATTTTTTAATTAAATTAATTAAAACTTATGTGGAACTATGAATTTCATTTTCAATGTAAAAATTGATTGTCGATAATAATTGGAAAAAAAACATCAAGAATCTAAAATTTTTCATGGCATTAAAAAACTAAAAAAGCATTAAAATACAGTGAAACCTCTAAATACCGGACACTCTCGGTAGCTTAATTTCGTCCACTATTCGGAAATGTCTGCTATTAAGAGGGGAAATAAAATGAGTACACACGTCGCCTTTCCCAAAATTCCGTCCGTTATTTGGAGGTGTCGGTTAAAGGAGATTTCATTGTATTTAGAAAATATCATATTCACGTAAATAGTCCTATTAATACTTGGTGAACATTCAAAGTTAGTTTTTATAGTTACATCAAAAATATAGATTTGATGTTGTAAAAATAGTTTCATTGATCCAATCGTTTTTTTTCGCTTTTAAAAATTATAGGGAATTTCCAATTTTGACCTCTTAATAAAGGGGCGTATATCGATTCCGCCGGCTACTGTTTAAAATATCTACATATCGATTCCGCCGGCTACTGTTTATTCCGCCCTTGTAATTTGTAAATGTATTTTTAAAATTACAGTCCTACATAATATACTTTATAATATATTAATTATATATAAAATGATAATAATTGTATACTAATTAAAACCAAAATGTATAGTCTAATTTGTATAAAATAATAAAAATATAACGAGTCAATATAGGTATTTTATTTTATTCCGTACGTAACGTATTGCTGTAAATCGTATATTTCCTATATATTACCGACTCTGTATTCTACTATATAAAATACATATWCAAGGGTGGGGGATAAACAGTGTCCGGCGGAATCGATACAAACCTTTTTTCTAAAACAGGTAGTTTCGGCGGAATCAATAATTTCCCCTTAATAAGATTATGCGTTCCCACTCGGTGAAGCCCAAAATCGCAAAAGGTCAATTTTTTTCGATAAACCAAAATCGTAAAACGAATTTGCGCTTTTGTACCTTAGTATGTATTAGTGGTATAAAAGCGTAAAAATAAATTGTATTACCTGATACAATATTATTGTACCCATTACACTATAGGTTTCATTTTAAAATTATTATAGTAGTATTATTTCAGTTTAATTTAGTATTTATAATATTATCGAATTTTATCGTAATAAATTACGATAAAAAATATTTCAAGATTGGATTACTTAAAAACTGTGGGCTTCAAATTTCAAATTTAATATTAAAGTACTTTTTTAATTATTTTTTTTATTGATCTTAAACAAAACATCTATTAGTTGTTGCTACTAAATGAAATACTAATTTTTTAATTATTTATATATTTTTATATTTAAATACACATTTTATAATCACGAATAGCATAGTATATTAATAACTGTATGATTTTAATTATATGTTTTTAACTATACGATTTTAATAAAATAGACTTTTTTTATAAAATTAATTTGCGCTTAAGGGTTGTTAAAAAGGTAATTTTTTTTTTTTGCGCTTATGGATTGCGTTTGGGTCATATAATTTTGCGCTTATGGGCTACAGACGTTCTCACTGCATACGCCGACCTGCTTTCCTTGATATTTACCGACAACCAACGGGAACTCGGTGCTTCGGCCGGTTAAATCAGAGGGGACGCGCATTAAATCTTAATTCTTGATACAATAAGTAACAACCGGTTTACTGTCTACAACTTTTATACTCTATACAACTAAATATTCACTTTCTTAATTCCTATTATAAAATATGCTAATTAGAAAATCGGAGCATTTTTACAACCTACTCCTAAAGTTAATGGACAATCGCATACCATTATAAGAAATGGTAAAAACATAATATTCATCGCGTCGCTCGGTATCTAATATCTACTAAAAACTTAATAGCAATCCTATCACGGCCATCACCCTCATTTCATGAATTAGAATTCAGGTGTCTCCAACCTACGGCCCGCGGGTTGCCAAGCTAATTAATGTTTTGAAAATAATATATTATTATTTTTCATTGTTTTTAATTTATTTTTTATTGAATTGATTAATAAAATAAAATGAATTTATAATATTTTCTTTTGGTAGGTATTATTCATAACAACTTATAATAGTTATACTATACATATACACTAATACTAATTAATAATAGATAAACTCGTCAATCACACTTATCTAACTTATATTGTACCTACTCGAAACTTACGCGATGATGGTCAGATAAGATACGATCGACTTTTTCTGTTGTAATAATAACCGTAAAATCTTGCCCATTTTCCAACATGCAACAAATTCAAACTTGAAAATGACGAAGAATTCCCTACCGATTTTGCTGTTGGAGTTCTCACCTACTTGAATGAGCAGTTGCAGACGCGTGCGGTTTAGAGATTTTGAAAGTGCAGAAGACCGTATTCGAATTTTTGAAAATCCGTTTGCCATAAAAATAGAAACTTACCGACAGAGCTCCAGCTTGAAGTTATCGAGCTCATACCTATCAAATAACAATTTTAAAGACTATTTCAAGGAATCCAGTCTCCAACAATTTTACGCTATGTTGCCAGAGGAATCATTTCCTAATCTCAAAAAACATGCGCGTGAAATGATTTCAATATTTAGCTTAACATACATATGTGAGCAGACGTTTTCAAAAATGAAATACGTCAAATCTAAGTACAGAACTAATTTATGTGACGAACACTTACAAGCTACGCTGCTAATTGGAATCAGTGGAACTAGGTACGAAGTTTGATGCAAACTATCAAGACATTTTAAAAAACAAGTAGTTCCAAACGTCTCACTAAGTAACTTACTCGTATCATAATAAAACAAATTTTAAATTATAAAATAAAAAGATTATATAAATAAACATAATATACATCTTTTTAAATAAATCTCATCTATTCTTATTTATTTCTCAATTTCATAACCTATCCTAGATTCCTAGATAGACAACATTTTTTTTTTTTAGACAACACATTTCTAAAAATGTTGGCCCGCGATGCCAAAGCGTATATCAAATTTGGCCCGCCGTAAAAAAAGGTTGGAGACCCCTGAATTAGATGTTGAAACTTTCGTGTTTGAAATCTATTGTTGTCAATTAAAACGATATTATAAAATCGAGTCCAGTTATCGATTATTTTCATTACTGAATATTTTGTATATAATCGAAATCTTTCGATTGTTTTCATAATCTCTCACTCAACCATGATAAATTTATCATGCACTCAACTTTGTACACTGATAAGAATAACGCATGCTGCTGGAATATAGCACATAGTAACATGAAATAATTCAAATCAAACCGCCCAAAATCGGTGTCATTACATATTTTATAGGTGTAAATGTGTAATCGACATATGTACAGGAAAAAAAAAAAAGGTGTAATCGACATTGACAAATTCGTGTTTATCTGCAGTCTTGGATAAGTAATATATTTTTATTATACGAAATTATATAATATTGGCTCCAGTCATCTACAATGCAAAGTTTATATTATTATAAATATTTATCCTAGGTAGTGTATGTGTTTCATTTCGTCACATGGACGGACTTGCTGTTACGATGTCTACTGAGAAGGCACATTTCCAAAAAGCATTTAGCACATTAAAACCAGCCTGTGATGCTTTCATAACGGAACCCAATGATGTAAACACCAAGCTCTTAAAGAATGCATTGGTAATGGTTCCAGAATATGCTTTAACTCAACTTCAGCCATATGTACTGATTCCGCTGGAAATTCACTTAAAAACAAACAAGTGTGTATGGTTGTATTCTATTTGTATCTGTTTCCATTGAATTATCACATTTGTTTTTTAGATCAAACTGTACATTAAATGTGTTGGAAGTACTGACGACATTGTTGAAAAAAACATCTATTAGTTTGTGGCCTACGTTTATGCGAATATATAAAATGTTGTTAGAAAAGTTGTCTCTTGAAAAAAAACCAGATGGTTTGTGTGAATTTTTTTTAAAATGTTAATTTATTTGTTAATTGTTATTAACCAAATAAATTACAGCATTGAATTTGAGCGAAGATATCAAACTGTCAATCATAACTGCTCTTAATTTATTAGTTGAAAAAGCTGATATTGTTGT